CCTGCTGGTGTGTGTATGTCATCTGCTGCAGTGTGCTCGAGAAGGCCTGCGTGTCTCAGAGGGAGAGGAACAGGGAGAGAAAAAAAGAGCAGGGGTGGTAGTGAGAGGAGGAGAGGCAAAGGAGGAGAAAAAGAGAAACTGAGAGGGATAACGAAGAGGATGGAGGTGCGCTGCCTGCTGATGCTGGAGAACTGATTCTGTGCAGCATCCACTGTGTCATGGCAGCCTCCTCCTGGAGCAGCCAATCATAGCACAGCTGTCAGTGGTAGATCCACCCACTGCAGGTGATAAGAAGAAAGAGACCAGTAGAGGGGGCAGTTAGACACTGAGCGGTGTGTAGTTTACTGGTAATATGTGAATTACCATAATAGAGAAATAATGCTCAAACACCCTGTTTGAGTTTCTCCCTAAACATATCCTTGTCATCTGGCAGTTTCAGAGGCTGTCTATCAGTGGAATGAGATATTATCATCATCACTAACAGACTGTTTGTTAACAGGGTCCCTCTCTGGAACATACTACAGGTCACTGTACACCAAAACAACCAGCCACAAGGACAGTTTCTTCCCCTGGGCCATCACACTGATGATGAACACTTAACCCATGACTGTATGACAGAACAACAACCTTCAGTGCAATACCTTGTAAATGTACCTTTGTATATAGCTATCTTGAAAACTGCATCTGAACTGTTTGAATATATATTTCTATGCTTATAAATACTTTATTTTTTATTTTCCTAATTCACACTCCTTTTTCTTTTTTGCACATTCTTTTTCTTTTTCTTGTTCTCTCAGTCTTATCTTGTTTACTCATTGACTTATGGAAGAATATTGTTCATACACAATGACAGCCACTGTACCAGAGTCAAATTCTTTGTGTGTTCAACACACCTGGCCAATAAAGCTGATTCTAATTCAGATAAGTCTTTTCCCATTACAGCACTGTTTGGCATTCTCTTAACAAAAATACTTTCTTGTACAGTATGGATTAAATGTCCCTCATCATGTTGCCCTAGTCTGTTTACAAAATAAATAACATAGCATTACTTTTCAGAAAGTTATTACTGCCATTCCAATATTCCACTCTTCAGGCCACTAAGCATGTCTTTCTTCATTAAACAATATTGGTGTGTTTTGGTGCACAATTTTTTTATGTATAAAATGCATAAAATAAAAAAATGGATTTTTTTTTACAGTTATAAGTTATATACAATACCCTGTCTAGTTAAAGCTATTTATGTATAATGTAGATTGTAGTATTTTTTGTCAACTCATTGATTTGTGCAGTAGTTTTTTTTTTCGGTATTTTGTTGTTGCGTTTAAAGGGTTGTCTGGCAGTGCAAATTAGGTATAAATTTTGTAATATTGTTTCATGCTATAGACCTGTGTCTAAATAAACATGAAATACAGCAAATCGCTAAACTCTAATGTGGAAGTGACACACAGGTTGCAATTTTTGGAAACTGTCTTTCAATTTTGTTTCCAGAAAATATTTGGGCACACTAATATATGTCAATGAGTAAATCGATAGTTTAGTATCAGGTGGTTGCCAACCGCCATTAAAAACAGCTGAAGAAGAAAGTTTAGTATCGTAGAACAAACGCAGGATGTACAAATCTGCATCAACATGAAAGTACAACGAGTTAGTTAGTTAGCGTCCTCAGCCTCTCGAGGGCAGTGATGGGCCTTAACGCACCGCGATGGTTACCGATTTCAGCCTGCAGAAGAAGACGCCGTCTAAGAGAAATAGGAAGAAGATGACAGGGCGCGCAAAAAGAAAAGCCATATCTGTCCAGGTAATTTTATATTGTTCTATCCACCTTTGTGGGATTACAGAAATGTATGTTAAATAGATGGGATTGCCCCAGCGAAAGGCTGCGCGTGTTCATCATGGTGACAAAGCTCCTTCTGTCAAAGGCTGCAGGTAGAAAGGTTTGGCAGGCTGTCCAGGCAGCAGTGGTCAGACGACAACATGGCAGCAGCCCTTCTGACTGGCATCGCAGAGCCACTCGATAAATCCGTGGTTTAGTTCCGTTCACTGTCAGCTAGGTAACGTCCGTAAGCTAGCGGTGGTCTGCTGCAGGGAAACGGGTGGGTGTCTTGATGTGATTCGTTCATTTGTAGTATTAGATTCCATAAAGGCCAAAATTAGAGCCCTAACTGCTAACACTGGTTAGCTAATGTTTCACGCAGCTGTATGGAAACATGTTGGTCGTTGACTTGTGTGACTGCTCGGCCAGGTCCAACATACAGAGGACAGAACATAGCTGCAAGTTACTTATAAGGACCTTGCGCAATACAGTTGCCAGTCAGTCAGTACTATACAACACCTAACTTTAACAACATTCCTGCAATAAATTCGCCCTTCATGAGGATCTTAATGTTAAACTTTTGTTGTGTTTGTTGGTTGTTGATGTGTTTCAACATTTTGGAGTCTGTAGCGTTAGTTTTTGATGCTGTGTTACTTAAAGATTATTAGGCCTGTTATGTATCTTGAGCCAGCCCTCATTTATGTAATTGGTGTAGATGATAACATTTTGTAAATGCCTACTCCTTATAACGCAGAACAGTTAAGTTTAATTGCATGGCTGTTGTATTAAAATTCATTAATTGTGGTTTGGTGTAACAACTAAACTGGAGTCAACAAATAAACCAAGTATAACATAGTTGTTTCTCCTACAATACATTTATTTAGAAATCGGGTACAGGCAATGGAGAGGTGAAGAAAGCCCGTGCTGATGAATCCAGAGCTGTGCTGGTGTCAAAGGTGGATTCAGAGCAACGTGTTGAGGTGGTGCAGCTATACAAGCTTCAAATGCCAGAAGATCTGTTCCACTTTTGGGATTTCTGCAAGGACCTTTCTCCTGACAACCCCCGTGGTATGCTCTTTCCACTAACAGTATTTCTTGTTACAGTAATAGGACAGGAGGTGCATCTGACATTTAATCAATTTTTCTTCAGGAGCTATGTAGAAGACAGGATGAGTCACTGGGTTTAGAGCATTTGTCCATCCAGACTTTTCATTCACATCACTATGAGACTACTTGGAAAACATACACAGGACCAGACCAAAACTAGAGGAATTCCAACCAAGACAAAAACACTGCCTTGAAGCAGACCTTTGTCTCTTCATTAGATGTTGATAAAGCAAACATTTATACTCTCTTGATTGGCTGTTGTTCTTCAAGTTATACAGTGTTTTGAGTTTGTCTTTTGGCCGTTTTATCCGGTTACAAATAAATCTAAAACATTAAGCGTGCCGAAACTAGGGGTCTGAATACTTTCTGAAGCCAGTATAAGTGCTGCCAGGCCGTGGCAGTCCAAATAGTGCTCCTTTTTAACATACCATAAGAGTAAGACAGTAATTAGTCAATAATCATTAGTCTGTCAAGAGTAAAAAAAATTCATTAAAAGTTTACATGTCCCAAAGTGACATCTAAATTACATTGAAAGAAAGTCACTTTTTGGCTTTTCCCGTTTAGGGGTCGCCACAGCAAATCATCACACTGATGACTCGCATGTTCACATTTGGCATGTGTTTTACGCCGGATGCCCTTCCTGAGTCTTTTAAGCCGAGAGCTGCCGGAAACAATTCATTGTGCTATGCATAATGACAATAAAGATTCTTGACCATGACCCTGGCCAGGTGTGTCGGACATATGAGGAATTTGACTCTGTTACATCAGCCCTCAATGTGTATGTTCATATCCACATGCAAGGGGCAAGTAAGCAGTAAACCAGCATAAGGCTGTAATATAACAAAATAAGCAGTATTAACAGGCAGTAAACAATGCAGACAGACAAAGGAATGCTCACTGTGAAATGAGATGGTAGAAATAAAAATAGAGTATTTAAAACTAGAGACCTGTACGCATCTGTGTAATCTGTATGAGGTACATTTACAGGTATTGCACTGAGGGTTATTGTCCAGTCATACTGTCATGGGTTAAGTGTTCATCAGAGTGATGGCCTGGGGGAAGAAACTGTCCTTGTGCCTGGTTGTCTTGGTGCACAGTGACCTGTAACGTCATCCAGAGGGGAGGAGTTCAAACAGATTGTATCCTGGGTGTGAGGGGGCTGCAGTGATCCTCTCCACCCTCCTTTTCACCCATGAGGTGTACAGGTCCTCCATGTTGGGCAGGCTCACACCAACAACCTTTTCAGCAGTCCTGACTGTCCGCTGAAGTCTGTACTTGTCCTGTTTGGTTGCTGAGCCAAACCAAACAGTGATGGAGGTGCAGAGGACAGACTTGATGATTGCTCTGTAGAACTGTATCAGCAGCTCCTGGGGCAGGTCGAACTTCCTGAGCTGGCTCAGGAAGTACATCCTCTGCTGTGCCTTCTTGGTGATGGTCCTGATGTTGGACGTCCACTTCAGGTCCTGGGAGAGGGGAGAGCACACATCCCTGGGGAGCACCTGTGCTTATTGTCCGGGTGCTGGATGTGGTTTTTTCCCAGCCTCACCTGCTGCTTGCTGACTGTTATTTTTCTTTTATTCAGTTATTTTGTCAACAAAACAATCGGTTAACTGAGAAAATTATAGACTAGATAATGAAAGAAATAGCTTTATATTTAACTGGATGCTTTGTTTGTGTTTTTTCTATGTGAGACCATATCAAGGTGTAAAGCGAAGCAACTGGAAGAATTTTGTTCTTTAAAGATTTCATTGAGTTTTCTCTTCTTTCAAGTTTAAAAAAAAAAAGTATCAAAACCATCAGTAAAATTCTAATTTACAGCAAGTGTACTTTGTATTTTACAGTGTGGACTCCAGAATTTCACTGATATCAGTATGCGAATAGATTCCTACTGTATATCAGTGTATTATTTTGATGTATGTTGATCTTTATAGGTGTGCTGAAAGACTCACTGGGTTTACAGCTAGTTGGACCTTTCGACATTCTGGCAGGAGCTCACAAAAACTCAAAGATTCCTCAGCCTAACTTCCACCTTCACTGGAGGTATTTTTATGACCCACCAGAGTTTCAAACCATCCTGCAGGGGAGTGAGGACAGCCAGCATCACATTGGCTACTACAGGTATAGCACACACAACTGTTTTGCAATCTGAATACTGTGATGGTGTCTGATCTGTGCTGAGACAGTGTTTGTGCTGTTGTTATAATGCTGTAGCTTCCACTAGAGGACCCTTGACCTAGTTACTGCACCAGCTACAATGAAAGAATGGTCTAACCAGTGAGGAATTAATAAAATGGCCACAGTGGGAACTATAGCTACATTACCTCAGCATGAGTGGCTCTGATTTATCTTTGCTGTTTTCATTATTCCCCAAACCCACCAGAGATACTCCAGACTCCCTCCCTTCATTTGTTGGGGGAAATGAAGCTAAGAAGGGCTGCACTATAACACAGATGGGGGACAACTTGTTTGCTGCAGTCCTGTGAGTACTAATCACCACATAGGTACCACATATAAGCATTTTATATACTTGCAGTAGAGTTCAGCTACTTAATGTTTCTACTATAAATAACTACAATTACCATCAAAGTGCAATGACTTTAGAGGCAGTTTACTTTCATGAGATTTACTTTCTGATAGTGATTAAATAGAATATCCTATGTAACAGGAGGCTGCAATGAACCTGAAAACCTTCTGTAGTAACAAACACAGCGCTGCCACCATTCTTATTGGCCAAGTTCTGTAGCCTGCTGCACAGCAGACTGTGATACAGTGGATTTTAACCTTTGTAGGGAGTGACCCTGTGTTAGGATGTAATAATTTCACAACCCCCTGACCAGAACATCAAGGTGTAGGAGCGCATATTATCACAGTCGGCAATTTAAATGTTTAATTTAACGAGGCTGTGTGCTTTAATGTTAAACTGGCTGCTGTCTGTGGCTCCATCCTGTCCTCTCTGCTGGACACACACCTACTCTGCTGCAGGCGAGCTGCTGGTTTCAGCGTCCACGTCCACAAGGATTCAACCCATTTTCATACACAGAGCTCATGTGACATCGTCGCTGCCTTAATAAAGTTAGTCTGTTTCCTTCCCGTTCACACTAATTCACTATAATCAGCATAACGAGCAGAATGAACGGGACCAGGCGCTTTGACCGCAGGGAGAGTAGAGACGTGACATTTTTCGCAAGTTTGTTGTTTCTTCAACAGGCGTATGATTAATTGCTCCCTTCATTACCACTGACTTTGCTGCGCATATCAAGAGTTGACATCTGTGTAAAATGTGACCTTGTGCCTGCATGTCTGTGTGAGACGGGGAGGGAGGGGCACACACACACACACACACACACACACACATACATACACCCACACACACAAACAAAACAGAGAAGCTGAGTTTGCAATCGGCTTTACTTTTGTTGTTGTCACATACTTTAAAATATCCCAGAACTGCTGAAATTTCTTCGCTGTCCCCTAATGACCAGCTCATCCAACGTGAGATTAAGTAATACTGAGATAAAGTGGTATTTGTGGAACAACCTTTACAAGTTCCAGTAGAGTACTAGAGGGTGGTATCGGACCCAATACTGGTATCAGCATGGGTGCATCCCTATAAAATATGATCATTATGAGTCAGTGAAACAATAGAGAGAATAGTATTCATCTGGCACTGACAGTTATGTTTACGTTTTGCTGTACATGATCAAATCACAAGTACACTGGACAGAAAGCAGAAGTGATTCAATGCACTTTTAATTGCTCACTAGTAGGAAAAGGTGAGTAAACATTCCAGAAGTCAGGTACATACACATATGATCTTTACCTGTTATGTTAGAGCTACTTTGACTTGTAAAAACACACATTTTGATTTTGCCATTCACAAGAAGCATTAAAAAAAATTCAGACAACTGAAAATTAAGAATTGTTGAGTTGCATAAAGCTGAAAAAGGTTACAGTTAAATGAGAAACACAGAATTTTTAAGCTTAAGGCTTAAAGGAATAATTGAAGCTGGTTAATATCGCTGTTCATAAGTCAGCCAGACTACAAATATGACTTTACTGAAGCCAGTTCTCTAAAGAAAAGTTCAAAATTCTTCCTGCTTATCCAGCAGGTTGGATGTGCAGCTACAGGAAGTGATCATTTGAGGTTCTAGCTGCCAAAGGAGATTTGATGCTTATTAAATCCAAGGGATCACTTAGTTTTTTCCACCAGCACTGCGAATGTTTAATGGGTGTATAGAGTGAGGACAAGAAAGATTGTGTTATAAGCACATTGTGTTTGTCTTTACTTGTGTCAGGTCACATTTTTACTACCAGTGAAAGCAGACAACCAGGTAATTCTAGAGGGTTCACATACTTTTTCTTGCCACTGCACTGTATGTTGTCTTACCTACAGTTTTTTTCCTCTTCTCCATCAGTCTGTACCTGTTGAGGAAGCGGAAAGAAAGGGGCAGTAAGAAAGGAGGGGGAGACGCTTTGAAAAGCTTAGAGGCAAAGCTAAGAGACAGGGCAGAGACTCTTGGCTTGTCTTTAGAGCAGAAGACCACAGGCATGAAGCAGAGGGACAAGAAGGTACCTTACACAGTGGAGCAACGAGTGGTATTGTCTACATTATATTGTATTAGGACCTCCCTTGTCATTCTCCTAACTTCTACCTCATATGCTGCCTGGGCTCTTGGACTGCAAACTCAAAGTGTAATATCATTTGGCAGAATGTGCGTAATACAGTTTAAAGTGGTTGTGGTCTTATGTTAAAAACAGAAAACATGTTTGACTAAAGTGTTTTGTTCCAAGTTGCCACTGTTGGGTAATGAGAAAGTTCTTGTCATGTCACAGGTGGTCGCCAAGACGTTCCACGGTGCCGGCATCGTTGTTCCTGTAGACAAGAATGATGTAGGATACAGAGAATTACCAGAAACAGATGGTGAGTGTGTATAATGTGTATCTAGTGTTAAACCTTGACATTAATGAAAAATGCTTTGCCACTTTGCTCATTTGTCCCCTTGCCCCTGACTGATCAGTTGTTTATGAGCTCATTCATTCACTTTGGCATAAAAGGTAGTTTAGGCTAGCATGATGCACAAACTGGGTGTTGTTGTGAAGGTGTCTCCCCCAGCATTGCAAAGTAGACCTAAGATGTGTAGTTTTACAGCTGAAATTATAGTGGTCCTGTTTTACGATATTATGTGTGATATTCATAGTTATGTACAGTTGAAGCTGTTTAATTGGCAGTCAGGTCTATTAATACTCTGTATACATGATTTGTCTTGTAATGAGAGGATGGCCTCATTTCTGCGTGTTTTTTAAACTTTTTATTTTAAACCTATGCGAGATGATACCACTTGTATGTTCCTGCCTCTGTATCCAGCTGGTCTCAAGAAGATCTGTAAAGCCATTGCTGAAGCACAGAATGATGAAGAGCGGGTCAAAGCCTTTGGACCTCTCCAGGAGATGATCACGTTTGTTCAGTTTGCCAATGATGAGTGTGACTACGGGATGGGTTATGAGCTAGGAATTGACCTATTCTGTTACGGATCCCATGTGAGTCTTTTAAAGTGGTGTATAAAAGCTCTTGCACGCACTGTGTTTATACTGACCTTATCTTATATATATACACCAAATATCAGACCTGCCAACCTGTATGTATATTGTATAGCAGCTGCACATTTTTATATCAAAGTACACTGGTATGGTTTGTTTCTTTAAAGTACACAGAAAGCTGGTGACACCTTGTGAGTCCTCCCCAACAGACATCTAACTCGTAGACAAAGGTCTTCCCCCTGAAAAGCAAAAGAAGAAGAAGAGTTTGACTATCATAGCACCAGATTAAAGGATGACAAATGTGTAGCTTTAATGTCATTTCAAGAGATGCTAGTGTCCGTAAATTGACAGAAACACCCTTGATTTTGATTTTATTCCTCTTGCTTCACCTCCTCACTCCAGCTGGTGGTTCCTCAAGTGAGGACGCTTCTTTGAACTCCTTTAAAAAGGTAAATGAACTGGGGGGTGTGTGGACAGTTGAGATTGTGGTTTTAGTAAATGTTAGCCTAACATTAGTTAATGTTAACCTGCTTATGTGTATTTATATACAAGCTGGCTTGCTTGGTAAAGTTAGGTCGTCTGTGTCACAGATGGCTAAACGTCACTTTTCATAGTATTAATAATATTGATTATTGCAGCCCAACCTGTACTAGTTAATAAGCATCATGGTACCCCAGCTGAAAAAAAAGTGCCCCCCCGCCAAGTGGTACACCAAGACTTTGTTAAAGGTTGGCAGGTCTGAAATATTCAGACATTGTGATGTGGTTACAGTTTTACCTCAGTGTCTTATCAGATGTTGTGGGTGCTCAGGTGTTTTCATGTGCAGGTTTTTTGGGGTTTACAAGCCAAGAAATTTGGCAACCACTGCTTTAAACCAGCACAATGACCTGAATGTTGCTAGAGCGCTACACTTTTAGTTGATAGAGATACTTGATTAATCTTTGGTTTTCCTGCCTCTCTAGTACTTCCACAAGGTTGTCAAGCAACTTCTGCCCATGGCCTACAGCTTGCTGAATAGAAATTTGTTTGGAGAAATTCTGGAGACCCACCTCTCCAACCGCAGCCATGATGACCTAGACCAACTCTCTACGCATTAAAATTATTGACGTTCATTCCAGTTCCAGCTCCTATAAGCTTTCTCCACCATGTCCTTGACTTTTGTTGTTTGCTCTGTTGTTGATGTTTCTTGGTGGTTTCGGTGCTGCTGTTATTGATTGGAACCAGTTCAATGATAACTTGTTTGTAAAAGTTAGATGTCTAATAAAGTATTTTTATATTTTTACCCGTTTTTATATCCAATGTGACACCAACAAATCCCTAAACTATTGAATTTGTCTAGATTGTGCCATAGTAATATTATTGTATTTCATAGTAGATTAGTTTTTAGGCCTAAACCATCAAAGCGGAATGTTTTTTGCTGTTTATGTTAAGCATAATGACTTTTGTGAAAGAAATCTTTATAGCAGTTGAATCATGATTTCTCTGATAAACAGCAGTAATTTACACTGATTGGCTAAATGCTTTGAAAGCAGTAGGCTTGAAACTGAATAGTTCTGGGCCGTTAGCTGTGCCTACCCGTGAATTCTGAGATTATAATTGTTGCTAAGTTCTTGCATTCTGTTACCATATGACTTGGGCTACTGCATTTAGACTAAAGGCATTTCTTTGCTGCAAAATCAAGTAAGACTGAAACTCAGTTTTGTGCTTTGAGATCATGTAAAATTAATTGAAAATTCTACTGGGCACTCTGGTTTGGTGCCACTTCCAACTCAATTATAATATACCATGATCTTCTATCAAGTTATAAATTATGGAATATGGACTTGATTATGTTCATTTGTTTACAGATGTTCATCAGTACAGATAAGACTCTCTTATCTAAAAGCAGTAATTACAAAGTAGGCCTATGGGGCCAGTCACTATGTAATAGCCTGTCTACCCATTTCTGTAGGCAGAACAGCCTAATCATTACAGCTGAGTGTTTTTAGGTTAGTAAATCTTCTCATTAAACCTTTGAAAGGTTTCTTCCTCATGGAGTGAATCCAGATTTACCTAACTACAGGGTTTAAGGCAGAGGAAACAAATGCATGCAAATTTAGTTATTCCACAGTTAATATTTGCTTAATCTCTGGTTAACCATTATTCCCATATTGTGACCTGCTTCAATTAAAAAAGATATAGGCCATATATAAATTAATATATGATTTAGAACAATTTGATTTCAGTGCTAATCTTGATATAGACAATGCCCATTTTCTGCCAAGTTAACATTGTTTCTACATCTGCTCCATTTTGCTTTCCCCTACCCGAGTTCTTTCGGGTTTTTAAATGTCTCCAAGACATTGCTATTGATTTTGCCTTGTCAGCCTCCATTAAATTTGCAGCTCAGTGAAGAGACCCAGCCCGAGGTCGGGGCGTACTAAGGGGAAGATTACATCATGTAGGCCTGGTCTTCGATGATTTCATATTTTTTTCACGTAGTGTTTTCGGTTTTCATTTAAGAAACTTGTGACATTATGGGTCGCAATGATACTTTCTACTCTAAAACGACCGCTGCTGCACAAGCACCAAGGGGCGTGGAGGGAAGCACTTAATCAGGAGCGCACTACTGCTTGAGGTGCATTCAGGTGCCATTGGTTAGGAATGGTCTAATCACTTTTTATGTTTTTTTAGGTCTGTTCTTTTAACCATGGTGGAGCATCATTCTGCTCAGTGGTAATGAGTAAACTTGTTGAAGTCCTAGATGTAGAGTGATAGTAAAATCAACCCAACAAGTGCGGATGCTGTCAGTCGCGTTTATCAACACATCCTCCACTTTTAGCGTTGCTTCTTCAGTTAGTAGCTTTTGCAACTTGTGTCAGGAAATGAGTTTTTCAGATTGATTATCCCAATCTAGGTGTTTAAGTGAAGTTTCCGACTGTCCTTGAAGGGAGCATTCATCCTGCGGAGTTTCGGGGAAGTGCATGAGAAGCGCGTTCACGTCTCCACACACATAACCTGCACGCGCCAGATACAGCAACACACCGAGAGCATCCCCGAACACAGAGAGCGTTCGTTTTGGTTCTACAGCCTGGAAGAATCACCGAATAAGCTTTTGTCACGTTTAGTCACAGATCGACTCTGCAGCCGCAGAATGATCCCGGGCCCCTCTGAGCCTTGTGGATTCTGAGGCCCCGCACAGAAATCCACCTTGCACCGGCAGAAGGACCCTCACTGACCGCGCCGCCTCCAGCAGCAACCAGCCCGTGACAGAATGTCCAGTAGCCCTGAAGAAAGTCACTCCAGGGGCGGCGGCTCTGACCGTGACTTGAAAATGGCCTCTCCCAGCAACACGTCCTCTGAGGGTGGACTTCCACCACCTCTGCACCAGAACCGTATACGGCAGGTGGGTGTCTGTCCGCAGCCTGAAACCGCGGCTGATGTGCGCTGACGGAGCGCAGATAAAGGCGTTGCCGTGGTTCGGCACTCTGGTAATCTGACAGATTTTCTTTGATGTGTATTAAAATTGTATTCAAATTAGCTTCTTACAGGAGAAAAGCTCTCTGCAGAGAAATTACCATCTGTTTTGCTAAGACACTTATTCTGATGTGCGTCAGGGGAGTGTGATGATACCCAAATAGGCCAGTTGTTATGGCCGTCAAAATAAACACCACCAGGCCTGCACCGAGTCCCCTGGAGATGTTTACAACTTCACCACTGTAGGTTTACTGCTGGCATGGACAATGTCCTGTTTAGAGGCTGAGAATCTCAGATTGGGATTTCTTGGCACTTGTCCATTTATCCTTCTACCCAAATCAAAAGCCTAACATTTGCAAGCAGTTTTTTGTTTGTTTGTTTCCGTGTGCTGGGCTTCTCTGAGGTTTCATGGTTGGTCTGTGTCAAACATGGGTAGTTTTATAGTTGTCTTCTGATTCTCAAACTGTTTATAAGGTCTGCTTGTCTGTGGGGCTGTTACAGCATAATGCATTTTATGGCTAAGGTGTGTGTGTGTGAGAGAGAGAGAGAGAGTAGATGTGCCCTGTGTGTTTCCACAAGTGCTCTCTCAGGCTACTTCTGGCCTGGACTGGTTTGCCAGTAAGTCTTTTTGTCCTTGTGGGGACTAAAACTCTGACATTATGGTGCAGATCTTTCCTGAATTCATTTATAAGTATGGTTTCATGAATGTGTGTTGTAAACAAGAATGTTAGTAGTTACCATCTAGATATGACCATTGTTTCCTGTCCTAGTGCACTCTCTCAGGCTAATGTGATTTCAGTAATGGACTAAAGTGCTACGGTTGAAAGAACCACCCCCCCCCCCCCCCACACCCACACACACACACACTTTTTCGTTCGTTTTAGGGTGGGGCCACTGAGCACACATACTTGGATGTAATCAGGAGTTGTTTTTTTTTAATCAACAGTGAAAAATCAAAAGCAGCACTGCTCAGACAGGTCATGTTCATGATTATGTGTGTTAATTATACACAAGGAAAGGAATAGCAGTGACTTTTTACTGCACAGAAAGAAGATTATTTCATTCGTGGCGAATGAAAGGAAAAACCTGAATAAATGAGTGGTCTCCTTCAGGATGACACGGCCTCCATCCACAGGGCATGAGGGGTCATAGAGTGGTCTGATGAGTATGAAAATGATGCGAATCATATGCTGTGGCCTTCACAGTCACCAGACCTCAATCCAGCTGAACACCTGTGGGAGATTTTGGACCGACATGTTACACGGTGTCTGACCATCATCAAAACACCAGAGGGAATATGTTTTGGGACAATGGTGTTCATCCCTCAAGGAGCATTCAAAGACTTGGAGAATCAATACCAAGGTGCACTGAAGCTGTCTCAACACCTTAATCATTTTTGTTTTCCTTTCATTTGTCACCCATCCATATGTATTCTATGATGAAGGTACAAAAGACACTTCTAAATAAGCAATTTTCTTCTGTTAAGTTTTGTTTGGAGGGATGTGTGCCGGTAACTGTTACGTTGTCCATTTACCCAGATCATAAAATAATCAGTGTTTTCCAGATACGTACACTCTTCAGGAGGTTCATTTTTGTACTCAAATGTACAAACATCAAGCATGTACCACAAAAGGCGCACTATAGTATTTGAATTTATATATTTTTATTTTTTGTAAATGTATATTGCTTAGGCTGCCACAAAGGTAGAAAGTAGTTTTTTAACAGTTTAAGGTACACATATTCTACACTAGCACATTAACCGAAGCACCTGGGTGGTGCATGGAAATAATCATTTGCCACTGCAGAGACCTGGGTTTAGTCTCTAGCAGCAGTGTCTCCAACTTGGCCCCATCAGTCGATCACAAGCAGCACTGTTGACAAATGATCGTGTTCCTGTCGCCACAGTAGTAACCCCTGCTGGTTGGTCCTTCTGTGGTGATTCTTGTGTGTCAACACTCTCCCCCTGGCCAAGGGTGGGACTTAGCATCAGTGCAAAAATACTAAAAAAGAACTGAAGCAGCACTTAACATTAGTGATGTGCAATACCATTTATTTCCTTTCTGATCTGATACAAAGTAAAATCCAGGCTGGTATTACCAGTACCAGTACCGATACTGATGAGGGAGAATGAGGGAAAAGAGAGTGGTCCAGACAACAGACAATGATGGTGGAGATGCGTATAAAGTGAATCTATAAGAGCTTGTCACTTTCATTAACAAGTAATGGCACCACCCTGCGCACATACTGTGAAGGGATGTTTGTGCACGATCCTTTACCTCTGCCTCTGGGCATCCATATATAACACCCACTTTGATTCTCAGTGGCTCACACATTTACAGTATGACTATGACAGGCGGAAGTAGAAGTAGTTCCTATCAACCAGGTATTAGTGAGACTTTCCTGCTGGCGTAGTTACTTTGTACTGCGTCCCCTGTTGAGGATAAAATACACATTCACCCCAAATTCGCTTAGTATTTTTATATATTGATTTTGTAACTTAGAAATTGATCCTAGAACAAGAAACTTTGGGATCAGAAGTAATGATACTTCAGGATTGATCACTACTCAACATTACTTTATGATTATACCATTGTTCAAGGGCTGGGTGAGCCTGTGCTGGGAATTATGTGAGGTTGCCAGTCTCAATGTATCATTGTACATTACACCCAAGAATACGATACCTAAGGATAAGTGCTAACACAGTCCTGAGATGAGGTCTAATCGGACAAATAAGTGTAATGTAGACCCTTAAGGCTGACTTCATTGTTTTGTTTTGTTGTGGGGTGTTAAAATTCCACACCAAACTCACTGACTTGAGGGAATGTCACGTTATAAAGTTTAGCATGTTAGCA